ATAGAGAAGGGGGCTATTTTGAACTATGAGGTGGGTGGGGTTGAAGTCTCATAAAGGCTTTCGAAGTTATCCTCATTCCTCCCAATCCCTCACCTTCCTCGAACACTTCACTCTCATGAGCCTGAAAGAGCCTCACAAGACACCCGCCGAAATTAATTCCTGGCTTGGTTGAAGTCTCATAAAGGCTTTCGAAGTTATCCTCATTCCTCCCAACCCCTCACCTTCCTCGAACACTTCACTCTCATGAGCCTGAAAGAGCCTCACAAGACACCCGCCGAAATTAATTCCTGGCTACGTCTCTGGCTCTGTCATCCAAGTATTTTCCATCTCTCATCATGAGGCCAACACGAGATAACTCGGGCGTGGACCCCAAAGGATTAAAGGCATAGGGTGGTACTCTCCTGAAGATGTATTGCAGAGGTACCGGTTCATGCCTCAGGGCATCCTCCTTTTGATGGACAATTTTTGAACCCGATTACAGGGTTTTTGGAAAGTCATTCCTTTTTTTTATTGTACGAGGTAATGACGTTTGTAATTTTTGGGCTAGAACAATGCTTTTTGTGTGGAAAGAAAGAGGATTCGGTAGGATTTTAAGATTTGGTTGATTTATTTGTTTGCAGTAACCCTCCATGGTGCCAACATTGAGGCAACATTTACCGGATCCGTTTAAGCTAAACTAATCTGATCTCACGATGGTCCCTAATGGGAATCAGTTTAACAGAGATAAACTTATTCCCATACATGCCCATTATGAAAACGAATCAGTTTAAAGTTAAACGAATCCGGTGCATGTCACCCTGAATCTTCGACACCGTGTGCAATTAACCATGAAGTATGAGGGGTGGAGACGGAGAAAATGGGAAGTTGCATCCAAGGCACTCTCCTTTCATCACCACCTCAAGACCATGATGGAGGACCGTACTTTCAGTCAAAAACTGACAAATTCTATCACAATTTTAAAATAGGGAGTGACTTTTTCAACACCCTGTAGAGCGCAGAACGAAGTGGAACTACGCAATACCGCCACTGCTGCAGATCTGCTGCGCTCTTCGGTTCTATGGGCGCAGGTCCTTTCAGGGCGTGATCTCTGATACACTCGATATCGACACCTCCACTGCGTGTCACACCATTTGATTAGTGTTGCCGGCCCGAACGCACCGTGTCTGCAATACTCGCCGTTCCACTTTGGAACTTTCGCACCGACTCGGAAACGTTGCTCCTTCAGTACAGTTTTCGTTAACTGCCCTGAGTCAGCGAACAATTGAATTGCCAATCACGCGATCTTCGATCAATAAACGGATCACAAAAAACGACTCTTCCTTGGTGCAATCAATTGCAAACAACCATTTCAATGTCACAAAAAATTCCATAGTTATTACATTTATAGCAAAGATTCTGTGGTCATTTTGAAATGAAAAATTAGGAGAAAAAGGAATTTGTCAATTTTATCGCATAGAAATGTTGCATAATTATCTGTCTATTATATTATCTGTCTATTTCACATAGTTTTGTTCATCTACCTCTGATATGTTAGAGTAGGGCAAATTTTTGAATTTTGCTATGACTTTGGATCCCAACTACTGGAAAAGCCCTATTAACCCTTTCAGACCTGGCATCCCTTCCAATGTACATTGCATATACATTGTGTCTATGGCAATTTCTTAGGATTCTCCTGACTTTATGTTCCATATTACGCTAAAATGGGTGCAATTATGCATGGCACAGTTCCATCAGAGGCCTTTTTTCACCCATTAGTTTTGTAATCTTCAGTTACTTAATTAAATGTATAATATATCATATATGGTATGATTTGGTAAATTTATGCAAAATATAAAAATTACATATAAATCATGAACATTTCAATTACAACTACGAAAGAGCTCAAAAATGCCAAAAAGTATATTATTCCGATAGTGGCCTTAATTCAGGTCTGAAAGGGTTAATTCGATATTGGATAGTTCGAAGTATCTGATACATCGAAATCATCTACATTCCCCGTGAGGGAGGATAGCAATATGTATGCTTTATTGTATGGGTAATTCGAAGTATGGATACTATGAAATTCGGAGGCATTTTCTGGTCCCATGAACTATAAACTCTGAAACATGTTCATTTAATTTGAAGGGCACTTTTCCCTACGACCTGCAGATTACTTGCCTCAAACTTCACCCTCTAAATGGCTGCAAAGCCAGCTAATTGTCTTGGAAACTTTAGTTTTCTATTCAGATGAATTCTAAATATAGGCTAATGCCCCCTTTCACTAAATCTCCCCCTCTACCCTTACCTATCTCATTCACACCTTGTATGACCTTCAGTAAAAACTTAGCTTTGTGGCAGCCCAGTCTCTCTTGCTCTCTTTGTGTGTGTTGTGAGTGAAATGGGGTTGAATGTGCCATGGTGAACGAGGAAGTACAACGAGTTAAGTATTTCACAGAAGTTGGAAGTTAATTGTGAAGTGGACGAGAAAGAAAAATTGAGAAAGAAAAGAGCAATATTGCAAAAGAATTCGGCATACCTCTTTCAACTCTATCCGCATTCTTTAAAAATCATGGCACCATTGAAAAGCTGCCAGAAGGTGGCCATGAAACCAACAAAAGGAAGATAATACAAGGCACAAGACACATGAATTTAGTGCTGTATTACTGTACCAATTCCGGCTGAATAGTACAGTATTACAAAGTAACAATGGCCAACCGGATAATTCGAACCCGCAAATTTCAAAGTCGGTATTTTTTGGTCCCCTGGATTTTGAATCAACAAGGATTTCCTGTATTTGTTCCCTAGTTTCACTGGAGCTGACGGCATCTGTGTGCACAGGACCATGTTATATTATACCTTTGATGAAACTTGAGGAAACGATGAATTGGATGACTTGAAGCATGGAAGGATTTCTCTCATTAGAAATTCCATAGTTAGATTTATTGTGATCATCCTTCTTGATGAGCATTCAGCTAATTCCACACCCCTTCAGCTAAAGCTGTAACACTATTCTCAGAATTCCGCATCCCTTACTTCTTCCATGCCCCCTCACCCTCCAAGGGTGAAGTTATTAGTTTTCAGACCCTCACCTTGGCAATGATGAATAATAATCTGAACATGGGAATCCCATGTTCAGATTTACCAGGAGTTAAGGTATAAAGTAAAAAAAAAAATCTCATCCGAATGAAGTGGAAAAGAACGTCTCCGAGATTCCCCACGAGAAGTTAAAGGCGTCTTTTGTCTTTTCTCTCGTTTTTTTTTCCGGCGATGGAAAGTGAGGGTTTCAAGACGTTTAAAGGAGGAAGGACCTCTAATGTGTACTATAAATTATCCTGGTGGTATTATTTTATTACAAGACAACGAACTTATCATACTCTCAATTTCCAATGTTAAAACATGATTTGGCAACCCTCCTGTATTACCATGGTTGTTTGTGGCACTCCCTACATTTTGAAGTCCCATGAAAGCCCATCCTGCCAGGCTTTGTGGCGTTACTTGCTGCATCTTGATCTTCCTGCAAATACTTATTGCTTGTCCTATCCTTCTTACTGATTATTCTTGGCTATTTCCTTCGTCCTCTGGCTCTTGCTACGTTATTAGTTTTACCTTTGAGGTTTCCCATTTCTTTGCAAATGGCAATATCCCAACTTATTATAGGTAACTATGAATTGGAAGTCAGATGTGACCTGCGTGAGCATGACAGAAGACTGAGTGATAAGAGCATGAAATTAAAAACCTTGCCATCAGGAGAATACAGGAAATGTCCCAGCAAGAAGTTACCGAATTCACCGATGGTTCATTTTCCAATAGGGCAATTACACAACGTCTGCACTACTGATACTTTAAGAGTTATGCATGTCAATCACCTCTTACTCTGTCCTAAAACTATCTAAGGACTGAATGGAGGTTACATTGCTATATGCCCTAAAATCTCTATATATACAGTGGACTCGTACACGACACGACGTACGTACTCCTGAAGCAGCCAACGAGGCTAAACTCGGGGCTGCAATTCCCTTTTCAACCCTTTTTAGTTGGTAATAATATAAATTAATCGTAAGTAAATACTCAAGATCAGGTATTTAGGATACTACTGAATCGCAGTCAGCATTATCGCTTTTCAATTACATTTCTGAATCGACGTAAGAAATTCTTTCAACGTTTGAGACAGAGCATTTAGCTCTGACAACTCTAAACGATGAGAAAATCTTTGTGATTGGTTGGAAGAGACTTGGAGTATAGGCCAATGGATTGTAGTCGTCAGCCATGCATCCATCCTTGGCGCTCGTCGAATCGGCCTTCTTATCCTTTTCCGTACTTTAAGTTTCGAAAAAGGTCCGTGAAGATATGAAAATCGCACTTCCAGTTTCGCATTTCGTACGTTAGCAATGAAATCGGATGTTAAGTTTTGTGAAAAGATTGCAGAGTTCAGGGATTTGTTTAAATTATTTTGAAAATGGAAGTGTAGTTTTGAGAAACGGACGTTAGCAATTGGGAAAAACTGTAGTTACTGGGGATTATCCCTCCCTAACATTGCTCCAGCCACACCCACATGACTCTCAAGAAATGCCAAATCCAGGAAATATAAAGTTATGGCTCGCCAACCCTAATTTTTCCGATGATGAAAATTTCAGTTAAGAATGATGGATTAGGGACATAAACGTTGTCGATTTCGTCTGTGAGACCTTTAATAGACTTCGTTATAACCGAGGTAAATTGTAACGTGCCTTATGGGCTCTATGCCGGAACCTGGCACTTTCGTCGTTATAACCGAGGCTTCGTTATAACCGAGTTCGACTGTATATGTGGTATCTAGTTAGTCAGTTAGTTTTCTAATTAATGCTACTGGAAAATGGTTTTCTCTGTAATGGAGGCAGAGAATGAGGCAAAAAGCCAAGAGGTATTTAGTTCATTTGGGTGGAGTGGAATAAAAGTATGTTTATGAAGTTCAACAGCAGTAAATGTAGAATTCTTCACATGGCAACAGTACCTTTATTATCATTCCCTTTTTTTTCTAATAGGAGATGGAAAATCACGGGTGACACCAGTGAGGAGCAGCATTGATGTTGCATGCACATGCAATGTGGTTGAATTTCTCAATGAGCTTGGGTTCAAGCTTGACTTTGAGTACATGCTCAAGGGGCAAGTCTTCCGGAAGGGTCGCATGAAGATTACCTTGTCCAAAATTTTCAGAGTGAGTCAATTTTAACAGATTATGGCTCATGTTTATGACCTTTTTTAATTTTCTGGTTTTATCTGAAACTTCACTGATAGCTGTTGCAACATGTAATCTTTTGAAATTTGCAAAATTTTATTTCAAGGAAACTCCAAAGACTCAGAGCTACTCTCATAAACTAGGATGCTTGGATGTAGGTGAGGGAAAACTGGGACACCTGTACTCTTGCTCAGATTATTGTAATTTCAGATCAAAGTAGCATAAAGTAAGTGGAAAATAACTAAGATATGTCTGCAGCATTCTATATTCTTTTTTTTCTATTGTGTGTTGTGTAATAGTTGCCCTCTTCTGGTGCCTGTCATGTTTAGCATGGATAGACTTTGTATTGTTAGAAGAATGGGTAGTGTATCAAAATACTTGTTGTATCTTTTCATATAGATATTTAAAATGTTAGGCATCCTAGGTGTCAGTGAACCATTGCATCTCGGGCACCAAGCTAAGGCTATGTTTTTGAAAATTGATAAAGACAAGGGTGCAGCATTCCTCATGGAAAAGTGGATTGCAAAGAAATTACATTGAGGTGAAAGTTGAGGGAGGTGGAACTGGAACCAGATCTTATGTGAAATTGATATTCAATTTGAAGGTGTTAGATCCCTGATGCTCTCCCAATAGCATTTAAAAATAGATTAGAAAGTTCCAGTTTCTGGAAGAAATGGGAAAAGAAAATTCACTTCTTTGAATATGAATGACTGGGGAACTCAATAATGATGTTTGTGAGAATGTGAGCTCAATTGGGAAGGAATGAGTGGAACAAATTATGCTTGAAGAATGAAACAATTTCAATCAAGGTTATAAAATAATTGTGATGGTGTTGAACACCTTGAAAGATGATGTTGATTTGCTCCAAAATTCATTGAAATTTTTGCCTTAAAGAATCAAGGCATTTTTAGGGCACTTGTTGGTGATAGTTTAAATATTTCGAGTGAGATTTAGTGCTTCTTTAGTGGTACTTCTGTGTACAAATCCTGGCTGCATCTTGGCATGACCAAATTTGCCCTAGCCCAGTTCACTTAACCCGTAACCTGTTTGCCATAGAGAAATCCGACAAAAACATCAGATGACATAATGGCTGAGATCTCCTGGATGGAATATAGAATGGACTTCATATTTGACACATGCAGAGCTGGAAAGTACAGTAACATGGTTTTGAATTTTCAAGTGTGTGTTACAAAATAAAGAAATGACTTCATGTAGAAAACAGAGAAACTTAGGAAAGATTTTAGCCACACTTCACACATGGAATCCCTTTACATGTGATATAGACAGAAAAAACTAGGGCTGTCACGATAGGTCGATGCATCGATACCACTATCGATAGTTGGAGACATTGATAGTTTTTTCGACCATCGCGATGCATCGGCAAAGTATTTTAAAGGGGAAATGTCTCATTGGGATTGAGGCGAGTACAGTACAATACAGTCCCTCCGGACGGGGAAAGGAAGAAGTGGCGTGACCCGCATGGGCTTGCGATTTATTATCGCAATTCCGTAAATGCTGGGACTGACTATAAGAAAGTTTGGAAGGGAAAAAAAAGTCGGATCGGAGACAGGAAGTGAGAAAGGAGAGGGGGGAAGACTGAGAAATTTTTTTTTCTCTTCGGTTTCTGTTTTCGGCTCGATCTAATCAGGTGCATGGTACGAAAGTGAACTGTTCTTTTACTCCCTTGATTTCGAAACCTACATTGGCTAATCCGCTCTCTATATTCCTATCACTTTAGTATGCAGGCTTAATGTTCTTAATTTTTAACTTGCCTAGGGCATTTATCTCTACTTAAGGTGAACTCAGAGTGAATATTGTACATAGACGTTGCTTATACTAGGGCTGTACCGACGTTTCGGCAACCGCCGGTATGGAACCATCAGCAGGTTTCCTATCTGGCGGTGCCAATGTCCAAAGACATTGTAGAACGAAGAAAAAGAGAAAAATAAATACGTGAACGAGGCTTGGCAGCTGATTCTCAACGGCAATAGGAAAAATTAGGGTTGTCCTGATGCATCCATCGATGAATGGATGTCATCTTCGATAGTTGGAGGAATGGTAGGTTTCATTACTCTTTGCGAAGGTCATACATTCCCCCTGCACTCCCGACAACAAGCGTGAGATAATAGAAGCCGGATAGAGGTCCGAGCTCCGATCGCGGTGAGAAAAGATAGAATCCTCCAGCCCCCCCCCACCCGATGCATCGATACATTATCGATAGTTCAGGTCGATGCATCGATGTTTTGAAAACTGCTATCGTGACAGCTCTAATAATTATTGATATCCCAAAGAAAGCTAACTTGATCTTCCCCCATCAGCTTTCTCCAGTTTAGAAATGATTCTGTCTTGTATGTTTGCTTACATTTGCTTACATGAGGATGTCAGTATTGAGTGTGGTGGTTTTACAATACTTGACTATTTCTCATGGATTCACCATTCTGAGTATCTCAAAGGGCATCTATTAATGGTTCTTACCATCAAACTTGACAGGGACATGGAGAGACCAGTTGTGGCCAGACGACTGGACGTCGGTGACTCAGGACGGGAAGCTGTCGGCACAGTTTGAGCATACGCTTCTTGTGACAGACGATGGCTGCGACGTCCTCACCCGACGTCTCACTGAAGACGGCCTTCCTCACTTCATGGCCAAGTTGTGATAACCCTGGATTTCCACCTTTGAACGGTGTTTTGCTAACTTTCGGATGTCTGGAGGAAGTGCTCCTGTCTTGTTTCTCTCATGTGTTCAGGAGAGTGAAGGAAATAAAAGTTGGTTGCCATGCGTTTCGATTCATTTACTATCAGTTGGCTTCTAGCAGGTGGTATTATCGCAGTTAGTGCTATACCGAATTTATCACTTTCTTTTCCCTCGTTCGATCAAACAAAGGTCAGCCGTTACATGTAAACATCTCTAATACTGCTGAGAAAGTGTTCAAAGACAGCAGATCCTCCGTGAAGAGATCGCCACCATGCTTCTGCCAAATAACTTGGTAGATGCTGCTCGCTGGTCCCTTTCATCTTCCTCATTATCTGCATTTTGAGATATCCCCCCTGCGTCTCGATCAGCTGTGCGTTTGTACCGTCCAATGGATTGACATTCGGAGTGGTTGACGGTGTGATGATCGAATTCAAACTGCTACAAGTCCTTATAAGCGGCCCATTCGTCGCTCCAAATCGTCGTGCCTGGCAAAACGTAGCGTTGAATAATTGGCAACAGTTTCCTTGTTCCTACGTGCAACTTGAACAAGCCGAAATTCACTTTTTCCATCCGACCGCTTCTAGACCATGCCGAAAATCCACAGCCCATCGATTCGTCGTCCACAGTTGCTACGTCGATTTGATACTTCCTTTGGTTGCTGATCGGCTGCGTCGGAATCGGAATCGGTGCTCATTAACAATTCCTTTGGCATCGCCAGTCAGCATGCGACCCTTGTGTGCCTTGCGACGACCGCGCGCAATAGACTTTCGTCAATCTGAATAATGTGACTAACGCCGCCCATTGCAGGTGCATCCTGAAAGAGAACAGCGCAAACTTCGCGGCACATGTTGTACCGATCCATCATGGTATTCTTTACCACACTGATCATTCACTCGCTTTGTTTTGCAGAATCTTGTGCGCCCAATAGTACGTCATTTCGAGAGTGGTTCCAAGCGAGACGCGGCTGTTGCAACGGCCAAAGCGATCAACGTAGGTAAAGAACAAATTCTTGCGCACTGACTTCGTCGTCTTACAGCCTTTTTTCTTGCATCTCCAATTCTAGTATTCGCGAGTCGTCCCATCGGCCAACGTTTTCTTGCATTGGACTCTGACACTTATCGCACTTCTTTTTCTTCATCGGCAAGAAGCCCTCGATCTCGAAGGAACTGAACGGTATTTCCTTCGAAACAATCTCATACAACCCATGGCCCAACATTTTTCTGAGGCACTGAATGAATTCACCGCTTAATATTGAGGGTATGGAAAGACAGAAATCTAGTTGGCAACGAGTAGTGCAGACGGAACCAACGTAGAGCACCGACCAGAATATGAATCCTACGATCTAGACACCCAGAGACAGACATCTAGAAACCACCCAGAAAACATAGTAGCGTTGTGGGAACGTTCCCCTAGAGTCAATACAATGTCATCGACGTTGGAGGTCAAAGTCCAATGTTGCGTGATTATTGTACCAGTGTTATGGCATTATGATACCTTCTTAAATCGTATTTTTGAATAATATTTATGGTAGTATCATGGAGCATGCCCAATAGGGGAAAAAAATTGTTTCCAGGAAACGACCAAGAACCTATCCAGTGTTACCACCCTGCTAAAACCAGATATTGGCTCAATGCTGGACCATCATCATTTTTTTTTCCAAGTCCTAGAAATGTGAGGAAAATTCACTCCCCAAAGTTGATGTTCAAGCGTTCTAATCTGATGAAAGTAGGTTCTGTGCGATAGTAAGGAGAGAGAGAATAAGGTCGCAGGCTAGTCAAATTCGACTAATTATCAATAAATTTAGCCTTCTTTTAGTCAAGGCGATCATTTATTGCATTTAGGCATTTATGAGAAAATAGTGACGAAAAGCAAGCTGATTCGCTGATGTGAATAGATGTTTGTCCTGATCAGTTGGCATCACTGTCGAAGAAATGTCTGCGTCGAGGAACGAGAGCGTGTGTAGTGTGTGACAAGCCCTTGATATCTAGGCTCGCCCTATCGATCTCGCTTCTCTGTTTTCTCCTCAGTCGTACATCCGTATTGACAGGCATTGATTGGCTTTTTTTTCGCAGGCAGGGATCCATTTCGATCGCAGAATGAAACAATTCCCCTCCAAACAGAAACAGTTTTGGAGTTCATTCCTCTTCGATCCCATGTCACATCTTTCCCTTAGGCCTAACGTTAGGCCCAATATCGTACCGTAGAGCATAACCCCATCAGGTAGTGAGCGTAAAAAAAGCATCCCAACCCAAAAAAATTATCCTGTCACCTGACAATGCGATGGAGGAAACGAACAATGGATCCACTGCGAGGTATCATTTAAGATGGAACAACCATCCCTGCCACGTTCTGTCAGTTTTTGAGTCACTCTTGAATTCCGAGAGCCTGGTTGATGTGTCTCTTGTTGGAGATGGCTGCACCATTAAGGCACACAAGGTTGTCCTTTCAGCCTGCAGGTGAGTCTTTATTTTGTACAAGTGTAGTGATTGAAGGCATCTAGTTCAATTTAAGTTGACTGCCAAATTTAGATTATCTTTACCCAAATGAAACTAAACTAGCATAACCTGCTGTCATTCTTGTTTCAGTTAGCTGATGCTGAAACAGACTCATAAATAGGGGAATGTAAACATTTCCCTCATGACTTATAAAGCGTAAAATAAATTAAATGACAAAGCTTTCAACAGGAGACTGGCTTCATATGGTGTTAGCTTCTGTCAAGGAAAGGGAATTGCTTCTTTATTGCATGACTTACTGAGACTGGTCAATTGGTCTATATTACCATAAGCATCATGTATTGTGGGTGATGCAGGAAAAAAGCACATTCTGTTTCTTACTTTATAACATATACTCTATACTCTATACTCTAGAGTATAACATATACTCTAGAGTTATAGACTCTATATAGAATTTTAAAGGGAAATTTGGCAAATGTATTTGAGAGGCTGAAGTTTCAAGGTCATCTGGATTCATCCAAACTTCAGGAAAATGATTCAGCTCATTGCTAGGGTTTCAGCATTGCTCCACATCTGTCTTTTATTTAGTGATTTCAAAAATCCTTTTTTCACTTGCTGTGTCCTTAACAAGATGCTCTTAATTGATGCAGCTTCATCTTGCTTTAGTTGAAAAGGGATGTTATATTGAGAGGGTATTTTATAAGAGAAGCAATGGAATGGCCAGAGAATAGTTTGAGTTTCCTAGCAAAGAATGGACTATGTTCTTTCTAGTCTCTCTCCTCGCCAGTCCTACTTTTTAAAACTTATAAGAGAGTAGTATTCCTTTGCTGTAGCTTAAGGACTCTGCATTGAAGTGCACTAATGTAACAAAAAAAGTACATATGCACTGCCACCTAATATGAGGCATCTGTAGATCCCTACTGAAACCCCTGTGACATGATATGTGGATTAGCTAGATTTCAAACAGGGTTGTTTTTATTCAAGTAGCATTGTGACTTTAAGCTTTCGCAAAAAAATTAATTTAATTTATTTATTATTATAAATATAATTTTTGTAGTATGTACTATGTAATGCATCAGGCAGGACATGCTTCAACTTCCATCGCATTTTTTCCTAACAGTATGCTAATCTTCATGAATTAAGGTAGCATTTATTTTTCAATCACAATATTGTAAACCCCTTGTGAAGAGTTTCATGCATCTGCCAAGAACTACTTTTTCTAATGAGGTTCACAATGTTTTGGATTCTAGTGAAAGTGGAGATTTGATATATTTTCAATGTAACTTCTCTCCAGTTACTGTATGTTCAAGTCCCATATACTAGAGCTAATAGGAAACTAATCAGAAAGAAGTGAAATTATATTCACCAGAATCTATTTGTGCATCTTGATTGTGTTATTAGAGGTACAAAATTTCAGTGAATTTGGATTGACTTCACTCACATTTAGGCCTTGCTTTTTAGTTGACTGACCTACAATAGTGGAAAAAATTGGATGCTTATGAACATGTATGCAAAGGCTGTATCGCACTCATGTTCTGCACCAATTTTTTGTCACTTTCCCTTGGAAAAGGGAGGGACACTATGGAAGGTTAGCAAATTAGTGAAAAATCTGTTATGCAATGCATGGACCTCCCACAAGCTTCCCGTTGGTGTACCACTGACTCCCAACAAACTCAAATTGCCAATGCTTTATTTTTTTATCATTTACCTGTGACTGTCTCATTCTTTGTCCTCCAAGTGAAGTGCCTTATTTTCCCTTTCTTTATAATGAAGATAGATACCACAATTCTTGATAGAATAACGCAAAGTTAAAGCAAAGCTTTAGGTAATGTTCTAGTTCCTCATACAATCATCAACATTAATTATATGTATTATAGGGAAAAGGGATATGACTTTCTGAAATTGAATATCATGGATTTTTATCAGCTTTTCCATGACATAAACCATGGCCATACTATAAGATCTTAGTATCTGCCCTGCATTATTTGCAGATAAACTTTCACCTGCCTACCATCTTTAACTATCATTGTTGGAAAGAATTCTTGACTATCACCTAATAGTCAGTCATCATTAATGACAAATGTGTATACCAATGATTCAAGGCCCTGGAGAAACATCTCTTCCTTAGCTAGGGAACTGCTATTTTGTGACAACTGTATGGCCCATAGAAAAGTACAGAACTAACAGGAGTCCAACAATTCAGTCACTGCCCTTCAGAACCACCTATTATATTCAACTTTATTAGGCCCTTCCCCAACAATGAATGAACCTACTGTATTAGTTTGGATTTTTGACTTTTCAAAATGTGCTGCAGCAAAGCCAAAACTATGTTTAGGGCTTCCATTTAATGGACCATGAATTTTTTTTTCAAGTCCCTACTTTGCACGGATCTTTTCGGAGCACCTGTGTCGCCACCCAGTTGTGATTCTGAAGGACTTCCCAAAATGGCAACTTCAAGCATTGGTGGACTTCATGTATCGAGGGGAAGTGAGCGTAGAGGAAGACCAGCTTCCATCACTGATGAAAGCTGCTGATGCACTCAAAGTGAGCTTGTCATTTTCTATTATTGTGATTACACTCTTGATGAAGCATTATCCTAGACATAGTTCAAACCTTCATATTAGAGGTGTTCAGGGTGCATATGGTCAACATTTGTCTGTGGTTTAACTTTAGATGAATCTGCTAAGTGGCTGGAGGTGAGTTGCATACAGTTCAATGTCTGGCACAGATCCAGACTCAATCTAACTACAGTGGTACTCAATATTAGGAGTCAAGTGCAGATGTTTCCTGAAGTTGCTGAATTCAGTTCATGCTCAATGTAAATTATCACCAGTAATCACAGCTGAGTACCTTTTCTTGACTTTTTTAAAACTGATGCCTGATTTCATAACATTCTTGAAATTGGAAGTAGTGTCACTTAAAGAATTCATTCTTTATTTGGTTCCAGATTCAAGGTTTGACAGAATGCCGTAATGAGAATGAGGCTGAGGAGAAGGGTTTTAGCAAAGATGTAGGGGATACACCAGCAGTAGACCTATCGTCTCCTTCACCCCCTCTCCCATTAATGAAAGAGGAGGAAAAGACTTCACCTCTGGGAAACCTTGATTTTCCACAAAATGCTCCTTCTCCCTCTCCCAGACGGAAACAGGTTAGTTCCCCAACAATTTTTGTTTTGCTGATGAATGCTGAGAGGAGGGGTGGGAGAGTCAATTTTGACATTTTTATGCCCTTTGAATGTTGATTATGAATGAAGTTGCTATATTCATCAAGGGGTGAACAGTGAAAGCCTACCAAAGTTCTTTCATATTATTGTCATTTTCAGGATGTTTAAGGTGATGAATAGAGTTCCTCAAGAGCTGGAAATGGATATGAAATTTTCTTTTTTTTAAATTTTAATTCCTAGTTTATTTTGGTCCAGTACTGTAACAGTTGCCTTTTACATTCCTAGATTTATTGGGCAGGCAATCAGCCTCTTATACCAACCTTGTAAAATAAATACAGCATTTCCCTCTTTCCTTCTTGAATATTTTTCCATTAGCTAGCACATCTTTGGTAATATCATTCAATTTTTGCTTTCTGCAATTTCTCAAAGGATCTTATTTACTTTTAATTTAGCAGAAATATGATGATGTATATGTTTGCAGGCACGTCCACAACGAAGACATGAAGAACATAGCCTGAATCTGACATCGGGTGACTCAGGTGATGATTCCCATGATGAATCCCTCTCCAGCTTCTTCCTCTCTCAATGGGTGAGCAAATTTTAATTTTCTGTCATCATGCTAACTAATGATGCAGTACCAGTCTGAGAAATTCATAAATGGCTCTGAAAAAATAAGCTCCATAGTTTTCTCTACAAACTACTCTCCTGTTCCAATTCAACTCATATCACTGCAATTTTGTGTCATTCAGGACAAAGGGAAATGTTTTAGGAAAACTGTTCATTCAAGGAGAAAACATAATCAAGGTGATGCTGCTAGTCCTGAGATAGAGAAATAAGTTTCCCACAGCACTAAAAATTATCTGGGGTAGATGTCTGTTCATGGTAGCAAGAGGAAGAAAATACAATATGCAACATGAACCACAAGAAAATAAACATTGAATACATCAAACATAAAGGATGCTCCAAATGTCTTCAGCAGTTTGCTCTTGTCTCCTTTTCTGGTATGTAGGTCTAAACTGTTGCAACTGGTAAATAAATTATAACTATGTAGTGGAGCATCATTTGAGCTACCATGTTGAGAATTTGAGAGGGAGTTGAAATCATGACATGGATGATGCAGGAAAGAACCTGTGATGACATTTGCAGTCATTTTGAATGCAGATCTCCTTATGCTGAACCAACAGATGCCATCACTGGAAACCTTATCAGTAAATTTACAAATGTTGCATCAGAAAACAGAATGTGGTTCATGAGGTCATGAGGGATGGGGGAAGTGGGAGGTGGAATTGGAGGTCTGGCTGGTTCTGAGGATTTAAGCCTACTGCAATGAGGCATGAGCCAGAGATTAGAATTGTGGCCTTGTAGGGGTGGGTAAGTCAGACTTAACAGCCTGTATGTGTTGAGCTTCCCAGCAATCATTTCCCTTTCATGATCTGAGTCGTTTTTACTCCATTGTAAAGCCACCATAGGTGCTTTGGATAACAATTACTCTTACCTGTTTTCCAAACAGATAAAAAATATTTTCTTTGTATGATGTTATCTAGTGTGGGAAAAATGAGGAAGGAGGGCCAGGAGAGGTGGAGGAATCCTCCGGGACTGGTAATGGCTGGGCAACAACAGACCCATTGACTCGCTTTCCAGTGTCTATTTCCCCCATACCGGTACAGTCTCCGTCTCCTGTCTCTACCTCCTGTCCCCCAACTCCCACTGCCATCACTTCTGAACCTTCAAGATCTCAATCATATTCAGCCTGTTAGTCTTCCATCTTTATTTTATGTATTTTATCTATTTGTATTTCTATTTATTAAGTGATACTTTGATATGACTAATATATAGAAAAGAGGACAATTACTAAGTAATGGAAATCATTGGACACCTTGAAGAGCCTCAAGTCAGTAGTGTTCAATAGAGCTAATAATGTCAAATATCATGAACATGAGGAAAGAGATGCATGAAAATTAGATTTTTCTAAGTGTCATCCAGAAGGGCAAAGATGACATTTTGTGCCATTATTAGTAATGTGAAAGCATTCTGTTGCATGGTTTCGTAAAGCATGCCTACTCAGAGCACACAATGTTTTGGTCTGATATAAGATATGGTGGAAGCTATGTAAGGAGTATCTAAATATAAAGGTAGAAATCTTGCCTTCCTATTTAAACACTAGTGACTGGAGTAGCTAATTCTAATGATATCAATTAGCAGTTATCTTCCCAGCCAGGTATACATTGGGATGAATAGTTGAAGGATAAGAATTTGCTATAATTTATAAGTATGCTTTACAGGTGTTATCTATTTTTGGTCTTGTTTCATATGTGATAAACTCACCATGTAAAAATTTATGAAATTTCATTTTTTGAGGTGTTCTTCTTGATGTGCTCATTGATTATTCTTAATCTACTAGATAATGCATTGGGTATCTATCCATCATAAAGTTAAGAAAGACCTGGCTGACCACTTTCATTTGTGTAGCTGGTGGAACGGGTCCTCCAATGTTCAGTGCCCCACGTGGTGGCCCTCCTCGCCACTGGTCCAACGAAAACCTTACTGAAGCACTGAGACACGTATGGAGTGGACGGATGAAGACAGCACAGGCATCTCGCGTTTTTGGTATCCCCTACAACAGCCTCTTGATGTATGTGAGGGGGAAATATGGGAAGACACTGAAGCTGGACCTGGCACGGAAAGGCGAGATCCCACCCCATCTTGCTTCACATCCATTCCACCTTCGCACCCCAAATATGAACCACCTGTTTCCATCAGGTCCCCCATTTCGGGGGCTCCTCACCCGCCCACCGCTCTTCCCCCAGCTCCCACAACTGCTCGGAATCAAAACAGCATCTTCGTCCAATGGCCTTGAGTGCCCACTGGATTTGAAGATGGAAGAAGGACGGTCAATGGACTTTGAGGACTACCATTAGAAATAATAGTGACTTGGCTTGGGGCAATTTCCGGCAGTGACAATATCTTCTTTGATCCAAGCTCCAAATTAAGTTGCAGATTTTGGTAGTGGAAATTACCTTTCCCAGTCACTTTTCAATCATATTTGGTCCTTCACGATTACAATTTCCCATAACTTGACTTATTAACTGGCTAAAAACTCAAAGCTGTGATACTTACTTAATTCTGAAAATTCCAAAGTGTATGGAATAGTAGCCATTTATTTATTGTGAAGGCTAAAAAAAAGAAATAATATCCTTACAGGACCAATGAATTAGAACTGGACCAGTTCACATTGAAGACACAATATAATTTTGACATTTGTTTTCTGTTGGATGTGTCTGCCTGCAGCACTTCTCACATGGACCCAGAACTTCTTTTGATAATAAAACAATTAAATAATTTTTAATGCCCCAAGCCTAGTGGGACAGTGAAAAAGAATTGCCTATGCTGTGAGGACTTGCTGTTGTGATAGCAGAGTCTCTCTCTTGTCTCTTCTACCTCTGATCTCAAATACGTAGACAAAGGGGATTTCTCACTCATGCTCATCAGTCACAGCCTACCTCTGTCTGTGTATCCATATGGAAGTCCCTCTTGGTGAATCCCTTCTCCTCTGCCTTAAGATTAGGTTTGCATGCAATCGCCCTGTGATAGACTGAAATTCCAAAGATGGCGGCCCTGCAATACCACTCGGCCGCTCTCCTCCTCCTGTACAGACTCTTCTTTCTCCATTGTCCTAGATCCAATGCAAGGGACTATTTTCCAAATTTCTCATTTCTGCCTCCTTTTGTGAAAGGGTAGAATTGTCTAAAGCCTAGCTCCTTAGGCATAGTGATCAATTTTAGAGATGATTCCATTTGGCTTCCTACCAGTCAATGCTTCCAAGTTCTTGCCAGTCTTGTCTTGCCAGTTTCTATGTTACTGTTGAGCTTCCTGGAACTCCTCTTCCTTTCATGACTTTTACTGTGTTTTTTGTTTTTATTTTATTTTTTTGTTGTGTTTCTCAAGTTTATTTCTACTGATTAATTGAATCTTGTTGCTACTCTTGCCAGCATATTTTTTTAATGAATTTTTGCTTTTATTTTGTTCAGTTCAAATCCATTTCACATTGGTAATGTTTAGTTCTTTTTACCAAAGTGCTAGGTATATTTTTTAAAGTTTATTAGTGCTATGCAGTTGTGAATTAGACATTCTTAATTGTATCAGTGTTGTATCAGCTGCTGATGATGTGTTGACATCATATATTTAAGATATCTGCATACTGGTGTAGGATAAGTTGCAGACAGCGAATGAAACTTCATAACACAAGTGGATTGTATGGCAGATAAGTTGGAAGAATTGTGGTATCAGCAGCAGGTAGGACTCAGTTGCCACTTATTTTTAAAGCCCTTGGGAAGTGTTGAAAATCCCACAGTGAGCACAATTTTTTGCAAATTTGATATATTGAGTTTAATTTTAGGTGCTGAAGCATTTAGATTTTTATTATTAGTATCATTTGATTTTCATGAGGATCTTGGCAATTTGGTTGCAATTATATGAATCTCTTGTCCTGTCAATGGTCATCCTAGATGAGCAGCTAGATCTCAGAACTCTTTTCTTCTCTTCTGCTGTTTCAATTGCCTGTTGTACATTCTGTACATACCAGATGTGATAGAAGCTTGCCATTCCTTAGATCTCTCTGTCTGTCATTGTGGCTTACAGAGGACTAACAGTCACATAGTCAAAGAAGGTGTTGATTGTCACATGAAGAAGAGAATCTGTGATGTTTGGAGCATTGTGAACACCACCGTTGATTGTGATATAATGCGATGATTGCGATCCGAATGCGTTCTCGTTGAGCACGGTTTTTGATAATCAAAATTTCCTTTTGCTCTAGGATGAAATGTGCATGACATTATTCGTGATAGCAATAATTTTCTTCTCTGCAATGGAACTTCTACCCCCGGTGATGGACTTTGGACCCTGTGGTGCTGTCAGGCGCTGGCTTTTCTGCGCCCATATCAGGTGGAAGGGAATGGAGAAGGAAATTGGCAAAAATTTAGGCTGATCATGTTTTCTAGAAGCTAAAGAGGTAGCATCTGAACTAGTTGCACACCTGTCTTGAGTAAAATTTGTGCTGAGTCACAACTTTTTATTTTGCCCTACTATTGAAGATATTGTTTTGAACATTTTGCTTAAAATTTATGCTTAAGCCAATTTCATCATAATTTAAGAATGGATTGCTTGAAAGAGATTGTGGCATATCAGCTGGCCTTCCTGGAGAACAGGGTCAGAGGACGAGTCGAATTGATCTCAATTGTTTCTGTGTTGGGTGAATTTGATGTTGAACATAGATGTGACGGGAGAAGCGTGCTGTTGATGTGGAACCGGTGTGCCAAAAAGGGAATGATCTCTTACGTTTTTATTATTTTCTTCCCGTATCGCTGGAACTGCCCCTTTGACTGTACTGCTGTGGAGTAGGAAATAAAATTTAATTAAACATCACGTTGGAATTTTGATTTTTCTCATGGTGAAACTGGGGAATTGATTCGTCAGGAGGAGCGACTTGCCCGATGATGATGGACTCGGCAAGATATGAAATGTAGAGACATGTCTTACCATAACCCTTCAAACTTCCTCATAAAAAAGGAGACCTGTTTCAAAGTTCCCGTTGGCCCCCATGACGGAAGAGGCATGGCTTTGAGTGCTTTGACCGGTTGGTATCTATTTTTCGATTATCCTCAGATTATTCTAATATTAAAATTATTCGAAGGTGACATTAACATCCTTTTGAGAGAGTGACTCAGAAACGTTTGATGGTACCGAGATTTCTCAGCTTACGAGAAGCACAGTGGAAAAATTATACTACCCAATAGGGCATGGGATCTAGTCTATGACTAACAGCCCGTTCTTCGTATTTCATACACGAGGGAACGATTATAAAGATATTTGCTTCCAGTAGTATCTTATGAGAGTCATTCCGGTACTTCTCCAGTAATTTGATGTGTGTACCTCTGCTTAATCATACGGCGTACGGAGTATCCCTCGGTAGAAGAAATCGAGACGATAACGACCGTATAGGATCCCAAACCTGTAAGTCAGACTCTCCTCTGACGGCCAGAAAAACGCAGGAGTTACGGGACTTGATTAAGAACCGGAAGAATCCGCAACCAATTTCATTCCTCTTCCTGCTGTCTCTGTAAACACAGCACACATCTCAGATTATGAATCTTCACAGCCGATCTTCATCTCATCTCGACGAAGAAACGGTCAAACCCGATCGTGAAGTTCCTTTTTCTCACGTGGACGATGCCCGTCCGTGTCGCCCTTCGAGCTGGTGCCACTTCCGTGCCATTCTCACTCGCCTGACTTGGCATCATCATCGACAAGTAAGACGACTCCAGGGAACGTTTGTACTTGAGGCCTTCAACAGGGGGGACATTTTTTGCAATTGACGAGAACCGCGTGGAACGGTATGATGCTTCAGAAAAGGACGGATGGATCTCATGGGGCATTTTCCAATTACCATTTTAAAATTACTTTAATTATATCAGTCAGTAAGAAAATAAAAATTTAAAGCGAAAACCCGGGATAGTGCTCAGTTTGGGGCCAGTTATCATTTTCATTTTCCTGAAAATGCGTCAATCTTGAGGCAGCAAAAAATTATGGAGTATGGAATAATTATATTTTCATGGAGCAAATGTATGATTCTACATTTCCTGATTAAGATGTCGTCCCTTTGTCACAAGATTACGGCCCGGCTCCACCAGTCTGCGAGAGAAGCACATCTCATTCCCATCTCGGGTTTCGCGTCCCCTCAGACCCCGAATCTCCCCTTTGAGGCTTGGGTTGCTTTGAGGCTTTGCTTCCCACGTATCTCGAGACGCTGGGAGCTTCTTCAGACCGCTTCGGTCTCTCTCGTTCTCCGTCGCGGACTGCCTTCCCGCCAAAAACTGGTAGGAACAGATCAGAACTGCGTTCTACATAAGCCAGAGTTGGATCTGAGAGCTAGATAGAATGCCAAAGGGGATAAGAGTGATCTCATTTATTTTTTCTCTCTGGACGTGTCCTGAAATATCTTCATACTTATGGGAGGCCTCGTTGAATGAGTCCTAAATCTACAACCAGGTATCTTTTCGCGATGGCCAGCACCTAAGCCCCATTATGAAACTTTGTTCAGCCGGAGTTGCCATATTGAAAAAGTGCTAATTTCTTACAAATTTCATCCTTGAACCTCTCTTTCCCTCCTTGTTTTCACTTTTCGACCTGAGAAGACACTTCCGTGGGACCACGCAACGGCTGTGCAGCGGTGGGATGTAAGCATACTTGCACAAACTGTCCGAACTGGCAGTTTTTTCACTGTCGACATTTGAGAGCTTGAGAGACAGAAAATTTGGATTCGAATTAATTCGTGCCATGAAATTACCAGTATGCGATAGACAGACCTTCCAGACCCGTCGTGAGCATGCGAAAGTCGAACCACGCCTGATATTGAACGGAATTCCGGTTCACGCCATGGACCTCGCCGTTTTGCAATGATCAGAGAAATTCTGACATCAGTGTGTTCATCGTGAAATACTTTTGAAGCGATGCTTGGAATGTGTCGCACTCACGTGATAGCTCATCGTTTCGGCCAACCAGTTTTCAGTTTATTTGTGAAGTCGCGGGGATCCCAGAATTATCCTGCCAGATATTGCATTGTGGTACTTTCTGAAGGCTTCAGACATCGACGACTGTACTACAGAATGACGATACTGCTACATTCCTGGAATTCGGATCTGCTCTTTAAACTGGCGAAGATGTCTGAGGGCTCAGTCGAGGACTTTCGTGAAGTGCACGGTCAAGTTTGGAAAACTTGCAATCAAATGTATAACTGTGTATCATGAATTTGTGCAAGCCGTTTCCTCACTCCATCTTTGAAGCAATCCCTCAAACAATCATTGGAAAATCATGCTTTGAAATAATCAACATCGCATCTCAAAATCTAGTCGATCGTTCGCCC